CGTGTCCCTGGTATGTCCATGGCGTGTCCCTGCTGTGTCCCTGGCGTGTCCCTGGCGTGTCCATGGTGTGTCCATGGCGTGTCCCTGCTGTGTCCCAGGCGTGTCCCTGGCGTGTCCATGGTGTGTCCATGGCGTGTCCCTGGGGTGTCCCTGGGGTGTCCCTGGTGTGTCCCTGGTGTATCCATGGCGTGTCCCTGGCATGTCCATGGCGTGTCCATGGCCTGTCCCTGGTGCGTCCATGGTGTGTCCATGGCGTGTCCCTGGGGTGTCCCTGGCGTGTCCCTGGTGTGTCCCTGGTGTGTCCCTGGTGTGTCCATGGCGTGTCCCTGGCATGTCCATGGCGTGTCCCTGGGGTGTCCCTGGCGTGTCCATGGCCTGTCCCTGGTGCGTCCATGGTGTGTCCCTGGTGTGTCCCTAGCGTGTCCCTGGTATGTCCATGGCGTGTCCCTGCTGTGTCCCTGGCGTGTCCCTGGCGTGTCCATGGTGTGTCCATGGCGTGTCCCTGCTGTGTCCCTGGCGTGTCCCTGGCGTGTCCATGGTGTGTCCATGGCGTGTCCCTGGGGTGTCCCTGGGGTGTCCCTGGCGTGTCCCTGGTGTGTCCATGGCGTGTCCCTGGCATGTCCATGGCGTGTCCCTGGGGTGTCCCTGGCGTGTCCATGGCCTGTCCCTGGTGCGTCCATGGTGTGTCCATGGTGTGTCCCTGGCGTGTCCCTGGTGCGTCCATGGTGTGTCCCTGGTGTGTCCCTGGCGTGTCCCTGGCGTGTCCATGGTGTGTCCACGCTGTGTCCCTGGTTATGTCCCCGCTGTGTCCCCTCTGTGTCCCTGGTTATGTCCCTGGTTATGTCCCCGCTGTGTCCCCGCTGTGTCCCCGCTGTGTCCCTGGTTATGTCCCCGCTGTGTCCCCGCTGTGTCCCTGGTTATGTCCCCGCTGTGTCCCTGTTTATGTCCCTGGTTATGTCCCTGTTGTGTCCCCGCTGTGTCCCCGCTGTGTCCCCTCTGTGTCCCTGGTTATGTCCCTGGTTATGTCCCTGTTGTGTCCCCGCTGTGTCCCATGTGGAGCCGGCTCCTCGCGCGTCCCCACGCGTGCCGCGGGCGGCGCTGGGCCGGGCCGGGCCGTGGCGTGTCCGGGCTCGTTGCAGGCGCCGCGTCCCGCAGGAAGCGCGGGGCCGGATGCGCGGGGCCGGGCCGGGGCCGCCGCAGCCCCGCGGGTGCCATGAGCGGGGCGCGGGGCCGGGCGCTCGCCGCCATCCGCGCCGAGGTGCGGCGGCACGAGGAGGCCAAGCGGAGCCTCAACGCGCTCGTGGCGCTCGTGGAGGCCGTGACCGAGCCCCGGCTGCGGCGGGCGCTGGCGGCGGCCGCGCGCGACCTCCGAGGTGCCGGGACACGGGGGAACAGCGGGGGCGAGGGAGGGAGGGATGGGGGGACAGAGGATGGAGAGACCAGGGGGATGGACGGGGGGATGGACATGGGGATGGACATGGGGGTGGACATGGGGATGGACATGGGGATGGGCACAGGGACGTGGGGATGGGCATGGGGATGGACATGGGGATGCGGATGGACACAGGGACATGGACAGAGGGACATGGGGATGGACATGGGGAGGGACATGGGGATGGACATGGGGATGGACAGGGGGATAGACAGGGGGATGGACAGGGGGATGGACAGGGGGATGGACGGGGAATGGACATGGGGGTGGACAGGGGGATAGACAGGGGGACGATGGATGGGTGGATGTGTGTATGGACAGGTGGACGGACAGAGGGGTGGAAGGATGGATGGAGGGACACATGGGTGCACAGACAGATGGACAGGGGGATGGACTGATGGATGGACAGGGGGTGGATGAAGTGATGATGGGTACATGTGTGAGTGAACACAGGAGGGATGGGCAGGAGGTGGATAGATGGATGTTGGGATGGATGGATGGATGGATGGATGGACGGATGGACTGATGGATGTACAGGGGGATAGACAGAGGGATGAACAGTGGGATGATGGATGTGTGAATGGACAGGGGGGTAGATGGCCAGATGGATGGAGGGAGACATGGATGGATGGAGGGATGGATGGATGGATGGATGGATGGATGGATGGATGGATGGATGGAGAGAGGGAGGGATGGATGGATGGATGGATGGAGGGATGGATCGAGGGACAAAGGATGTGTGGATGAACAGATGGATGGACAGCAGGGTGGATGGACAGAGGGATGGACAGTGGATAACAGAGGGATGAGTGTTGGGACAGACAGAAGGATGGATGGAGGCATGGACGGAGGGGGGATGGATGGTTGGATGGATGGATGGATGGATGGACGGACAGATGGATAGAACAGGCAGGTGGACGGGTGGCTGAGGGGAGGAATAGAGGGAGGGAGGGAGGGATGAGTTGCGGGATGGATGGAGGGATGGACAGAGGGATGGGGGGATGAATGCATGCACAGAGAGATGGGGGCTGGTGAGATGGGCAGATGGAGGGCTGGGGGGGCTGGCAGTTTGATGGTTGGATGGACAGAAGGACAGAGGGATGGATGATGCTGGGTGGGCAGGAGGATGGTGGCTGGATGATGGGCAGCTGGACAGCTCATGACACTGGTCCTCCCTGCCCCACACCAAACCCTGGGCAGGTATCCGTGCACACAGGGGGGTCCCTGTGACCCCCAACTCCCCTCAGGGCCCTCACAAACTGTGGGGTCCTGGTTCCCTCCCTTGACGCTGCCCAGGGCTGGGGATCCCCAGTACCCCCCAGGACCCACTTGGGGACATGTTGAAGGGGTCAGAGCTGGGGAGAGTGGGTTTGGGGGTCCCCAGCCCCTCCCCTGCCTCCTCCTGCTGCCGCCTTTGCTGGTTTCCGGTGCCTCAGTCCGGGGCTGCGGTCGGTGACGTTGGGGCTGTTTCCTCAACTCGGGGGGGGGGCCCAGCACCCGAGGGGGGGATGTGGGGAGGGCCCTGATTCTGGAGGGCCCCATGGAGGTGCTATGGGTGGGGGGATGCTCTCCCATCCCATGGTCCCCATTGGTGGGTGTCCAATGGGATGGTGTCCCCAGGGACTTGGGTGCTGGTTCCACCCCCAACACACCACACATCTGTGTGCCCCCATCCCCGTGTCCCCCAGTTCTTGTGCCCCCCCATCCTTGTGCCCCCCCCTCCGCATCCCTGTGTCCCCCCTCCGCATCCCTGCAAGCCCCCCCCGTGTGCTGGCATCTCCCCAGCACTGTTGCCATGGCGACAAGAAGCAGGGGGATGCCTCGTTGCTAAGCACCCAGAAAGTGGTACCCACGGATAGGGGGGCACAGGGACCCCCCCACCCCAGCACCCCCACCCCAGGGCCCAGCTCTCACCCATTGTGCGTGCTTCTGACCTCCCCCTCAGCCCCAACGGGGCAGCAGGGCATCAATAGGGGCAGCAGGACCTGGGGATGTCGATGGGGATGTGACTGGTTTGGGGGGGGGGGGTGGTGGTGTCAGACTCGCCGTGACGCCCCCATAGTTGGGGGGAGACACACAAGAGCCACCCATGGGTGATGGGGGGACACCCAGCCTGTCTCCTGAAGACTGCAGGGGGGCACTGGGAGGGACTGGGATGGACTGGGAATGGGAGGGGGGCAACACTGGCACTATGGGGGGGGCTGTGAGGGGATCACGTGTCACCCCCCTAGTGACAGGGAGGGACAAGGAGGGGGATCAAGGAGTGCCCCCCCTCATCCATCCATCCCGGTGGTGCCGTGGGCGCGTTGCTGGGGCGACGCTCCCGGTTCTGTCACGAGCAGCGGGAATGTGGCAGTAACAAGGGGGGAGGGAAGGCAGCGGGGGGGGGGGGAGCGACCCCCGAAACCCAGCACCCCCGGGGGGGGGGACATAGACCGGGATGGGGGGGGAACCGCTGGGGACCGCCCGTAGGGCTCCATCCCTGGCCCCGCCGCTGCCACGGCAACGGGATAACGGGATGCGGGAGTGGGGAGAGGGAGGTTGATGCTAAAAACATGACGGGAAAAGGGAGGCTGCGGCCGGGATCGTGTTGTGGGGACCCCCACGGGACCCCCCAAACAGGGACCCCACAACACCTCCATAGTCCCCCCATAACCCCCCATAATCGCTCCATAGCCCCCCCCCATAATCGCACCACAACCCCCTATAGCCCCCCCATACCTCCCCATCACCCCCCCACACACACCTCCCATAACCCCCCGTGCCCCTCGATGCCCCCTCTCCCCCCCCACCCCCATCCCAACAGACTCCCCCCACCCTATAACTCCCCCCCCCCCCGGACCCCCACATCCGCCCCCATGCTTGGGGGGGGCCCCCCCACGGTGCCCCCGGGTCTTTAACCCGGGGAGAGGGTTGCTCGCTCCGGGAGGGGTTTGCTCTGTTGGGGGGGGGGTTGTTATGGGGGGGGTTTGTTCGGTGGGGGGGGGCGGTGTCGGTTCCAACCCCTCCGGGGGCGGGCGAGGAGCGGGGAAAGGCTTCGGGGAGGCAGGGCCGGGGGTGGGGACGGCGCCGAGCATCCTCCAGCGAACCGGGAACACCGGGAACGGGGGGGGGGACGCGGATACACAGCGACGGGGACAGGGACAGCGAGGGGGGGGCTTCGCCGCCTGCCCGGGCCGGGGGGGGTGTCCCTGCCCGCACCCATGAGCAGGACCAGCGGCCTCCAGCGCCGCACAACCTTCCTCATCTCCCTCACCCTCGTCAAGCTCGAGTCGGTGGCGGCAGCGCCGGGAGAACCGGAGCCGGCGGCGGCGGCGGCGGCGGCGGGGGGGGGCAGCGATGGGTCCCCCCGCCCCGGGGGGAGGCCGGTTGATGCCGCCCGCCCCGAGGATCCCGGTGGCGGCGGCAGAACGAAGCGGCCCGAGCGGCTCTTCCAGCGCCAGGACGCTCTTTGGATAAGTACAACCGGCCCCCCCGACGCTGCGGCCCCCCCCGGCAGCCCCCGCACCCCCAGCCCGGGCCCGGTGCCCACCACCGAGGCCTCGGCCCCCCCTCCCCGCCCCGCCGCCGCCTCCCGCCGGCCCCGTTCTCCCACCTCCACCCCCCCCGTTGTACCCCCAAAACCGGACCCGACCCTGCTGCCCCCCCCTCCGGTTGTACCCCCCAAACCCGACCCGGCGTCTCTTCCCCCCCCCCCAACCCCCGCTTGTCCCTCCCAAACCGGACCCGACTGCGCTCCCGCCGCCCCCCGCCGTACCCCCAAAACCCCCCGCGGCCTCCCTGCCCCCTGCTGTACCCCCAAAACCAGACCTCACCCCGCGAGGGGGGTCCAAGGGCACCTTGGAGGCCACAGGGGAGCGGGGGCGGCCCCCCCCCGCCCTGGCGACCCCGCGGCCCCCGCTGCTGGCCCAGGCAACGTGGGGGTGCCCCGAGGTGACCCCGGAGCTGGCCAAACCCCCCCCGCACCCCGTGTCCTCCCCGCACCCCTCGGCCGGGCCCCGCCGGCTCCGCTTGACCGGGACGAAGCCGTTCAAAGTGGCGACCCCCGGGGAGCCTCTGAAGGCGACCAAAGGGCCCCTGAAGGCGACCGCGAGCGGGGCCGGGGGCAGCCGCCTCTCGTGGCCCGAGGGCGAGGGCAAGGGGCGGCCCAAAGCCGCGGGGGGCAAAGCGGGACCTGAGGCGGGGCCGCGGCCGCCGGGACGGGGTCGCTTCTCCCCGCACAAAGGCAAAAGCAAGACCCTGGATTACAGCGACCTGCCCCCGGTAGCGGGGGGGCTGACTCCGGTCCCGGCTCCCGCTGCGGCCCCCGGTGCCGCCGGTACCGAGACGGGGCTCAAACGGGGGCGTGAAGGCGGCCGAGCCTCCACCCGCGACCGCAAGATGCTCAAGTTCATCAGCGGCATCTTCGCCAAGAGCCCCGCGCCCCCCCCCGCGCCCCCCTGGGCCCCCCCCCGTGAGTACCGGGCGGTCCGGGACGTGCCTCAGTTTCCCCGCGGCCCCCGGTGAGCGCCGTGCGATGGGGAGGGGTGTGCGGATCCCATGGGCCGGACCTGCCGTGGGCTGTGGGGCAGCACCTTGGTGTCCCTGTGGGGCTGGGGGAGCTGGGTGGGGTGGGAACGGGTGCAATGGGGCTGAGGAGGGGTTGTGGGGATGGGAGGGGGATTGTACAGGGCTGGGACCCGTCTGCGCCCCATGGCTGAGGGCTGGGGACACAGCAAGTCAAGGCCACCCCTAAGTGGCCTCAGGTGCCATGGGGCCCTTGTGCCTCAGTTTCCCCACTGTGGTGGCTCTGTGGGGCTCAATCCTCATGCGTCCTCCTGTGCTGGCATCCATCCGTCCATCTCCCTGCCATCTGTGACACCTATCGCGTGTCCATCCATCCTCTGCCTGTGTCCGTCTGTCCCCCTGGTGCCATGGGGTGCATGGGGGGACAGGAGCAGGTTGACCCTGCCTGTACCGGGGAAACTGAGGCACAGGAAAGGAAGGCACCTTCTGCCTTTGCCCGGCCTCAGTTTCCCTTCTGATGGCGCCCAGTGACTGGGGGAGGACACAGGGAACATCCTCGTGCGCCGCCGCATGCTTGTGTCACGCTGTGTCCTCGCGCCATGTCCTCGTGCGCGGGGCTGGGTGCATCCTCGTGCCCAGCATGTGCTGATTCCTTGTGCTCCTCGTGTCCCCGTGTCACGCCACGGCCTCGTGCCTCCCATGTCGTCATGTGCGCCGCAGCCGTCACGTCCTCGTGCCCGTCACGTGCAGCACCGTGTCCCGGTGCCCGTCGTGGCCTGAAACCCATTGTGCCCTCGTGCCATGCTTCATCTTGGTGCCATCGTGTCCTGATGCCCGTTGGGTCCTCATGCCACGCTGTGTTTTCTTGCCACACCACATCGTTGTGCCATCGTGTCCTGGTGCCCATCATGTCCTGGTTCTGCGCCCTCTTGCTGTGTTGCCGCTTGGCACCCATCAACATCCTGTGCCAGGCCACGTACTGGTGCCACATTGCATCCTGGTGCCTGTTGTGTCCTCATGGTACGACACATCCTGGTGCCCATTGTGTCCTGGTGCCCATCATCTCCCTGTGCCAGGCCATGTCCTCCTGACACGCTTCACCCCCATTCCCACCCCATTCCCATTCCCATCCCCATCCCGTGCCGGGCTCCATGTCCCCGTCCCCGCACATCACGTCACGTCTCCGCCGCCCCCGGTGCGTTGCCTGGTGACGGCGGGTGCTGCCCACGGCTGCTGCCGGTGCCGCGGCGCGGGTGGGGGGTGGCCTGGCCCAGCCTGGGGCTGGTGGCACCGTCCCACCCTTCTCCTGCCCCACAGAGGCTCTGGTCAACAGCCAGGAATGGACCCTGGGTCGCTCCATCCCTGAGATCCGCTTGGTGGGTACCATGTCCCCATGCCCCTGTCCCCATGTCCCTGTGTCTCTGTGTCCCCATGCTCCTGTCCCCATGTCCCTGTCCCCGTGTCCCTGTGTCCCTGTCCCCATGAGCACCCTGACACCTCCTCTGCTCTGTCCCCAGGGTGTCCTGGGCAGCAGCAGGAGTGGGAAGTCGGCACTTGTCCATCGCTTCCTCACCGGCTCCTATGTGGGCCTGGAGCCCACCGAGAGTGAGTGGCCGTGGGGATGGACATGGCCATGGGGATGGACATGGCCATGGGGGTGGACATGGCCATGGGGGTGGACACAGCAATGGCTGTGGTGCTGGACATGGCTGTGAGGATGGACATGGCCATGGGGATGGACATGGTCCTAGTAGAGCTGAGCATGATCATGAGCTTGAGCTTGGCCATGGGATGTACAAGGCCGTAGGGATGGACTACGATCATGGATCTGAGCATGGTCACAGGGTTGGGCATGACCATGGCCTGAGCTTAGTCCATGACTATGGGATGGACAAGGCTATGGTTCTGAGTATGGACAAGAGGACAGTCAAGGCCATACTGTTGGGCATGGCAATGGGGTACTCAAGGCCATGGAGTGCTTAAGGCTATGAAGTGCTCCAACCCGTGGAGTGCTCATGGCCATTGAGTTGCTCAAGGCTGTGGGGTGTTCATGGCTATCGGGTGCTCAGGGCCATGGGGTTCTCCAGCCCATGGGGTATTCAAGGCCATGGAGTGCTCATGGTCACTGGGTGCTCAAGGCCCTGGGGTGCTCATGGCCATCGGGTGCTCATGGCCATGGGCTGCTCATGGCCACAGGGTGCTCATGGCCGTGGGCTGCTCATGGCCATGGGGTGCTCATGGCTGTGGGGTGCTCGTGGCCATGGGGTGCTCATGGCCATGGGGTGCTCCAGCCCATTGGGTCTCAGGCCATGGGTGCAGCTCAGCGTGGGGTCCCTGCTTTCTCCCTGCCTCAGGTGGCCAGTTCAAGCGCGAGGTGACGGTCGATGGCCAGAGCCACCTCCTGCTCATCCGGGAGGAAGGAGGAGCCCCGGACCCAGAGGTGGGTGTGGGCCGGGCCGGGTGGTCCAGCAGCGGGGCTGGGGTCTGACCCCATCTTCGTGTCCCCCCCTCCCCAGTTTGCCAGCTGGGCCGACGCCGTCATCTTCGTGTTCAGCCTGGAGAGCGAAGGCAGCTTCCAGGAGGTGGTGAAGCTCCACGAGCTGCTCGTCACCCACCGGGGCGCCGCTGAGGTGGCCCTGGCGCTGGTGGGCACCCAGGGTGAGCCGGGGGGGGACCCCCATGGGGCCGGCATGGGGAGGGGACAACCCCCCCTCACCGCTGCTCCCCACAGACAAGATCAGCTCCTCCAGCCCACGCGTGGTGGAGGACGCCCGCGCCCGCGCGCTCTGCGGGGACATGAGGCGCTGCCTCTACTACGAGACCTGCGCCACGTACGGCCTCAACGTGGACAGGGTCTTCACTGAGGGTGGGTGCCCTGTGTGCCGGGGGGACGGGGGCGGTGGAGGGAGGTGGGATGGGACCATGGCTGGTGATGGAGGTGGAATGGGGACCATGGCTGCAGTGGAGGTGGGATGGGAGCATGCCTGGTGATGGAGGTGTGATGGGACCATGGCTGGTGATGGAGGTGGAATGGGGACCATGGCTGCAGTGGAGGTGGGATGGGACCATGCCTGGTGATGGAGGTGTGATGGGACCATGGCTGGTGATGGAGGTGGAATGGGGACCATAGTTGCAGTGGAGGTGTGATGGGACCATAGCAGTGATGGAGGTGTGATGGCACCATGGTGGTGATGGAGGTGGGATGGGACCATGGCTGGTGATGGAGGTGTGATGGGACCATGGTGGTGATGGAGGTGGGATGGGACCATGGCTGGTGATGGAGGTGTGATGGGACCATGGCTGGTGATGGAGGTGTGATGGGACCATGGTGGTGATGGAGGTGGGATGGGACCATGGTGGTGATGGAGGTGGGATGGGACCATGGTGGTGTTGGAGGTGGGATGGGACCATGGTGGTGATGAAGGTGGGATGGGACCATGGTGGTGATGGAGGTTTGATGGGACCATGGTGGTGGTGGAGGTGGGATGGGACCATGGTGGTGATTGAGGTGGGATGGGACCATGGTGGTGATGGAGGTGGGATGGGACCATGGCGGTGGCTGGGGTCTCGGTGCCATGTCCCATGTCCCACATCCCACCTGACACGAGGCTCTTGGAGCAGTGGCACAGAAGGTGGTGGCGCTGAGGAAGCAGCAGCAGCTCGTGGCCTCCTGCAAGTCCCTCCCCAGCTCCCCCAGCCACTCAGCTGCCTCCACCCCGCTCGGGGGCTCCCACCCTGGCCAGGTACCCCCCATTACCCACCCCTGGCCATGGGGCTCCCGTGGTGGCTCTGACCCCACTGTGCCCCCAGACCAGCAACGGCCACACCAGCGATTACTCGTCCTCGCTGCCCTCCACCCCCAACGTCACCCACCGGGACCTGCGCAGCGACACCCCCGTGGTCCCCGGCACCCCCAGCTCCCTGCACCGCGGGGCCAAGCGCCGCACCAGCCTCTTCGCCGTGAGTGACCGCGGCAGCAGCGGGGACATTTGGTCCCCTCAGTGTCCCCTTGGGAGGGTGGTGGCAACAAGGGACATATAGCCACCATAGTGTCCTTTTGGCAGGGTGGTGGCACAGGGGAGCACGTGGATCTAGGGTGCCTCACCATGGTGCTCTGGCAGTACAGGAGGCATGTGGCATCCATGGTGTGCCTTTGAATGGGTGGTGGCATCAGGGGACATGTGGCGCCCATATTTTCCCAGCGTGGCACAGGGAGGCATTTGGGTGCCCCAGTGCCACCGGGGGTGGGTGCCCTGGCCTTATGTGTCCAATTCCCCTGTCCCCATCCTCTGTCCCTGTTCCTGTCCCGGTCCCCGTTCTCTGTCCCTGTCCTTGTCCCATCCCCATCCCTCTCCTTGTACCTGTTCTGTCTCCTGTCCCTGTCCCCATCCCCTGTCCCTGTCCCCATCACTACCCCTGTCCCCACAGACGCGCCGCGGCAGCGACTCGGACAAGCGGAGCCTGGAGGGCCCCAGCACCGCCCGCTCGGTGCCGGTGCCCATCAAGCAGGTGGGTTTTGGCCGCGGGGGGAAGCGGCGATGTCCCCCCCCCGGTGCCAGCGCTGCCCCTGTCCCTGTCCCTGCCCAGAGCTTCCTGCTGAAGCGCAGCGGCAACTCCCTCAACAAGGAGTGGAAGAAGAAATATGTGACCCTGAGCAGCAACGGGCTCCTGCTCTACCACCCGAGCGTGAATGTGAGTGCCCGCGGCCACAGCGCCCGCCCCGGGCCCCTGCGGGACCACTGCCACCTCCCCTGTCCCACACAGGACCCGCATTCACCTCCCCTGTCCCATACAGGACCCGGTGTCACCTCTCCTGTCCCATACAGGACCCGCTGTCACCACTCCTGTCCCATACAGGACCCGGTGTCACCACTCCTGTCCCATACAGGACCCGGTGTCACCTCCCCTGTCCCATACAGGACCCGGTGTCACCTCTCCTGTCCCATACAGGACCCGCTGTCACCACTCCTGTCCCATACAGGACCCGCATTCACCTCTCCTGTCCCATACAGGACCCGCTGTCACCTCCCCTGTCCCATACAGGACCCGCTGTCACCTCTCCTGTCCCATACAGGACCCGCTGTCACCTCCCTTGTCCCATACAGGACCCGCTGTCACCTCCCCTGTCCCATACAGGACCCGCTGTCACCTCTCCTGTCCCATACAGGACCCGGTGTCACCTCTCCTGTCCCATACAGGACCCGCTGTCACCTCTCCTGTCCCATACAGGACCCGCTGTCACCTCTCCTGTCCCATACAGGACCCGGTGTCACCTCTCCTGTCCCATACAGGACCCGCTGTCACCTCCTCTCCCATACAGGACCCGCTGTCACCTCCTCTCCCATACAGGACCCAGTGTCACCTCCCCTGTCCCATACAGGACCCGCTGTCACCTCTCCTGTCCCATACAGGACCCGGTGTCACCTCCCTTGTCCCATACAGGACCCGGTGTCACCTCTCCTGTCCCATACAGGACCCGGTGTCACCTCTCCTGTCCCATACAGGACCCGCTGTCACCTCTCCTGTCCCATACAGGACGCGGTGTCACCTCTCCTGTCCCATACAGGACCCGCTGTCACCTCCCTTGTCCCATACAGGACCCGCTGTCACCTCCCCTGTCCCATACAGGACCCGGTGTCACCTCTCCTGTCCCATACAGGACCCGGTGTCACCTCCCCTGTCCCATACAGGACCCGGTGTCACCTCTCCTGTCCCATACAGGACCCGGTGTCACCTCTCCTGTCCCATACAGGACCCGGTGTCACCTCTCCTGTCCCATACAGGACCCGGTGTCACCTCTCCTGTCCCATACAGGACCTGCTGTCACCTCTCCTGTCCCATACAGGACCCGCTGTCACCTCTCATGTCCCATACAGGACCCGGTGTCACCCCTCCTCTCCCATACAGGACCCGGTGTCACCTCTCCTGTCCCATACAGGACCCGGTGTCACCTCCCCTGTCCCATACAGGACCCGGTGTCACCTCTCCTGTCCCATACAGGACCCGGTGTCACCTCCCCTGTCCCATACAGGACCCGGTGTCACCTCCCCTGTCCCATACAGGACCCGGTGTCACCTCCCCTGTCCCATACAGGACCCGGTGTCACCTCTCCTGTCCCATACAGGACCCGGTGTCACCTCCCCTGTCCCATACAGGACCCGGTGTCACCTCTCCTGTCCCATACAGGACCCGGTGTCACCTCCCCTGTCCCATACAGGACCCGGTGTCACCTCCCCTGTCCCATACAGGATTACCTGCACAGCACCCATGGGAAGGAGATGGATTTGCTCCGCACCACGGTCAAGGTCCCGGGGAAGCGCCCCCCCCGCGCGATCTCCGCCTGCGGCCCCGCCCCCAGCGCCAACGGGCTCCTGCGAGACGAGGGGGGGGGTGAGTGCGGGGGGAGCCCAGGGACCGGGGGGGATTCAGTAGCAATGGGGGTGCTGGTGGCAATGGGGGTTCAGCAGCAATGGGGGTGCTGGTGGCAATGGGGGCTCAGCAGCAATGGGGGTGCTGGTGGCAATGGGGGTTCAGCACTGAGGGTGCTGGTGGCAATGGGGGTTCAGCAGCAATGGGGGTGCTGGTGGCAATGGGGGTTCAGCAGGAGCTGGGGTTGCTGGTGGCAATGGGGCTTCAGCAGCACTTAGGGTGTTGGTGGCAATGGGGGTTCAGCAGCACTGAGAGTGCTGGTGGCAATGGAGGCTCAGCAGCAATGGGGGTGCTGGTGGCAATGGGGGTTCAGCAGCACTGAGGGTGCTGGTGGCAATGGGGGCTCAGCAGGAGCTGGGGGTGCTGGTGGCAATGGGGGTTCAGCACTGAGGGTGCTGGTGGCAATGGGGCTTCAGCAGCACTGAGGGTGCTGGTGGCAATGGGAGCTCAGCAGCACTGAGGGTGCTGGTGGCAATGGGGGTTCAGCAGCACTGAGGGTGCTGGTGGCAGTGGGGGTTCAGCAGGAGCTGGGGGTGCTGTTGGCAATGGGTGTTCAGCAGCAATGGGGGTGCTGGTGGCAATGGGGGTTCAGATGGATCTGGGGATGCTGGTGGCAATGGGGGCTCAGCAGCAATGGGGGTGCTGGTGGCAATGGGGGCTCAGCAGCAATGGGGGTGCTGGTGGCAATGGGGGCTCAGCAGCAATGGGGGTGCTGGTGGCAATGGGGGTTCAGCAGCAATGGGGGTGCTGATGGCAATGGGGGTTCAGCAGCAATGGGGGTGCTGGTGGCAATGGGGTTCAGCAGCACTGAGTGTGCTGGTGGCAATGGGGGCTCAGCAGCAATGGGGGTGCTGGTGGCAATGGGGTGGTCCTGCAGGACCGGGGGTCACTGGTGCCCCCCCCCAGCCGTGGGGCTCAGCCTCCCCCCTGAGCCAGGGCTGAAGGTCCCGGGTAAGGGCGAGCGGTCCCTGCAGCGCTGTGCCTCCGCCTCCAGCGCCAGAGTCAGCTCCGGTGAGTGACAGTGACAGCTCCTGCCCCCTCCTGCCCCCTCCTGCCCCCTCCTGCCCCCTCCTGCCCCTTGTTCCCCCTCCTGCCCCCTCCTGTCCCCTCGTGCCCCCTCCTGCCCCCTCCTGCCCCCTCCTGCCCCCTCCTGCCCCTTGTGCCCCCTCCTGCCCCCTCCTGTCCCCTCCTGTCCCCTCGTGCCCCCTCCTGCCCCCTCCTGCCCCCTCCTGCCCCTTGCACCCCCTCCTGCCCCCTTGCACCCCCTCCTGCCCCCTTGCACCCCCTCCTGCCCCCGTGTACTACCTCCTGTCCCAATGGACCCAGCCACCACCCCAGGATAGAACCAGGGGCCCCGTGTCCCTTCCTGCTGTCCCCTTGTCCCATCCCATGTTGGTTCCTGTGGACCTGGTAAACCCTGAGACCCGGTAGCCCTTGGTGGCCCTGGTGATCTCGGACTCCATGGTGAATGTGGTGGCTTTGGTTAGCTCAGCAACCCCAGCGGGTTTGGTGACCCTGGTGGTTCCAGGGGTCCTGGTGCTGCTGGTGAAAAGCCCGGTGGCTCTTTTGCACCTGGGTCACCCTCTGATGGCCCTGTTGACCCCAGTGACTCCGGTGGGTTTGGTGACCCTGGTGGCTCTGCTGGCCCCAGTGATAGTTGTGAACCTGGTGACCATGGAGAACCCAGTGGTTCTGGTGGACCTGGCCACCCTGGTGGCTTCAATGGTCACCAACCCTGGTGCGCTTGGTGATTGTGGTGCCTCCTGTGGTCCTGGTGCCCTCGGGTCCCGGTGACCCCCTTGGCCCTGCTGGCCCTGGTGGTCCCGGTGTCCCTGGCACCCATCGGTGTTGGTGTCTCCACAGATGCCCCCTTCGAAGCCATCTCCAGCCCCGGCAGCGCGGGCCGGGAGCCGCCGCCATCGCCGCTCATGGACAGGAAGAAGCACCGGAGGAAGAAGCTGATGACACCGTCCAAGACGGAGGGCTCTGCCGGGCAGGCGGAAGGTGAGGCCATGGCCGTGGGTCCCTCCGGCCCTGGATGCCCACGGACCCATTGCTGCATCCATGGGGACGATGCCCCTGGATGCTCGACCACTGCTGAACCCCACTTGCTCTGTCCCTCCCTGCACCCCTCGCGCTGTCCCCTGTCCCTCTTGGCTTGGCGGTTCTGCTCTGGTGACTCTGTCCCCACCTTTCCTCTCTCTGCCCCCGCTGCTCCGGACCCTCCCACAGCCAAGCGCAAAATGTGGAAGCTAAAAAGCTTTGGTAGTTTAAGAAATCTGTATAAAACAGGTAACGGCTCCTCCTGCCCCCCTGGCTCCCCCTTGCTCCTCCTGCCCTGCTCCATCCTCTGCTGCTGACCTATGGGTGCTGTGGGCGCTGGGGCACCCATAGGGGGTTGGATTCCCCCTGCCCCACCACCCACCGTTGGTTTGGGGCGTTGGGTTTTTGCTCCTGCAGAAGAGGAGAACTTCGAGTTCCTCATCGTGTCCAGCACGGGGCAGACCTGGCACTTCGAGGCGAGCAGCTTCGAGGAGCGTGACGCCTGGGTGCAGGCCATCGAGAGCCAGATCCTGGCTAGCCTCCAGTGCTGCGAGAGCAGCAAGAACAAGGTGGGACTTGGCAGTGGCCACGGGGGGCCACCACGTCACCAGCGCCGCTCATTGTCCCCATGTCCCCCCGCAGGCGCGCATGGACAGCCAGAGTGAGGCCGTGGCCATCCAGGCCATCCGCAATGCCCGTGGCAACTCGTTCTGTGTGGACTGTGGGGCACCCAGTGAGTGTTGGGGTCGCTGGGGATGTGGGGGGACATGGGCAGTCATGGGGGGTCAGAGGTGACACAGTGACACAGGACACCGGGGCTGTGCAGTGTCGCTGCTCTCATGGTGCTGTGTGGAGCCATCGGTCACTTGGTGCCACGTGGCAGAGCCACAGGTTGAGGTGTGCTGTGATGGTGTGATGGACACCCAATGTCCTGGGCACTGTGTGCCACATGATGTCATGCTATGGACCACGTCATGCCATGGGCCATCTAATGCCCTGGGTGAGGAAGCACCATGCGCAACCATGGCCACCCAGTGGGCCAACATGTGCAAGGAAGCATCATGTGCTATGTGTCACCATGGGCCATTTAATGCCCTGGGTGAGGAGCCACAGTGTGCCATGGGATGCCATGGGATGCCATGGGCCATTTTATGCCACCAAGAACCTGGGCAAGGAAGCACCATGGGCCACCAATGCCATGGGTCATGTTATGCCATTGGGTTACCCAAAGGCCTGGTCTAGGAAGCACCATTGCCACATGGCACCATAGGCCACCAATGCCATGGGTCATGTCATGCCATTGGGTTACCCAATGGCCTGGTCTAGGAAGCACCATGTGCAACATGGCACTGTAGGCCACCAATGCCATGGGTCATGTCATGCCATTGGGTTACCCAAAGGCCTGGTCTAGGAAGCACCATTGCCACATGGCACCATGGGCCACCCAATGCCATGGGTCATGTCATGCCATTGGGTTACCCAAAGGCCTGGTCTAGGAAGCACCATTGCCACATGGCACCATGGGCCACCCAATGCCATGGGTCATGTCATGCCATTGGGTTACCCAAAGGCCTGGTCTAGGAAGCACCATTGCCACATGGCACCATGGGCCACCCAATGCCATGGGTCATGTCATGCCATTGGGTTACCCAAAGGCCGGGTCTAGGAAGCACCATTGCCACATGGCACCATGGGCCACCCAATGCCATGGGTCATGTTATGCCATTGGGTTACCCAAAGGCCGGGTCTAGGAAGCACCATTGCCACATGGCACCATGGGCCACCCAATGCCATGGGTCATGTTATGCCATTGGGTTACCCAAAGGCCTGGTCTAGGAAGCACCATTGCCACATGGCACCATGGGCCACCCAATGCCATGGGTCATGTCATGCCATTGGGTTACCCAAAGGCCTGGTCTAGGAAGCACCATTGCCACATGGCACCATGGGCCACCCAATGCCATGGGCCACGCTCCATCAGGTGCCATCAAGACGGGGGGGTTCCCAGGTTGATGCGATGCCCCCATTGCATCACCAACCATCTCCATGCCCCCCCCCCAGACCCAACCTGGGCCAGCCTGAACCTGGGCGCCCTGATCTGCATCGAGTGCTCGGGGATCCACCGCAACCTGGGCACGCACCTCTCACGCGTGCGCTCGCTGGACCTGGACGATTGGCCACGGGAGCTGACCCTCGTGCTGACCTCCATCGGCAACGCCACCGCCAACAGCATCTGGGAGAAGAGCCCGCAGGGCCGCAGCAAACCCACTCCCGAGTCCTCCCGGTGGGTGCTGCCCCCCCCCCCACCCCAGGACCCGGACCCCCCCTCCCCAGCCCGTGACACGCTGTGCCCCTGCCCGCAGGGAGGAGCGGGAGGCCTGGATCCGGGCTAAGTACGAGCAGAAGCTGTTCCTGGCGCCGCTGCCGGAGGCCGAGGGGCCGCTGGGGGAGCAGCTCCTCCGCGCCGTGCAGGACAAGGACCTGGAGCTGGTGCTGCTGCTCCTGGCCCACAGCAAGAAGGAGCAGCTCAACGTCAGCACTGCAGATGGGGACGGGCGCCCGGCGCTGCACGTGGCCTGTGACATGGGGCTGGTGGTCATCACCCAGCTGCTGCTCTGGGTACGTGGGGGCAAGGGGGTGGGATGGGTGGTTATGAGGGCTGGGGGTTGTGGGATGGCCATGGGGGATGTGGGATGTGGGGTGGTCATGGGGACCATGGCATAGTCATGGGCATGGTGTGGCCAGGAGGGATGTGGTGTGGCCAAGGGAGGGGTGTGTGGTGTGGTCATGGGATGGCCATAGGGGATGTGGTGTAGTCATGGGATGGCCATAGGGGATGTGGTGTGGTCATGGGATGGCCATAGGGGATGTGGTGTAGTCATGGGGTGGCCATGGGGATGTGGTGTGGCCATGGGGGTCATGGAGTGGCCATGTAGGACATGGCCATGGGGGATATGGTGGGGCCATGGGGGCTATGCTGTGCCCATGTGGGACGAGGCATGGCCATGGGCACCACGGCTCAGCCACAGAATGCCCCCACACTGCAAACCCCTCGGGATAACCGCAGCCCCAGAGGCCCACCCCCGCATCCCCCATCCCCGTGTACCCCATCCCCACATCCCCCATCCCTGTGTCCCCCATCCCTGTGTCCCCCATCCTCACTTCCCCCATCCCCGCATCCCCGCATCCCCCATCCCCCTGTCCCCCATCCCCACATCCCCCATCCTCACATCCCCCATCCCCACATCCCCCATCCCCACGTCCCCCATCCCCACGTCCCCCATCCCCACGTCCCTCATCCCTGCATCTCCCATCCCCACATCCCCCATCCCCACATCCCCCATCCCCATCCCCATATCCCATATCCCCACATCCCCCATCCCCACATCCCCCATTCCCACGTCGCCCCTCCCCGCATCCCCCATCCCCACATCCCCCATCCCCACGTCCCCCATCCCCACATCCCCCATTCCCGCATCCCCCATCCCCGCATCCCCATCCCCACATCCCCATACCCGCATCCCCCATTCCCGCATCCCCCATCCCCACATCCCCCATTCCCGCATCCCCCATCCCCGCATCCCCCATCCCCACATCCCCCAGCCCCACATCCCCCAGTCCCGCATCCCACTCATCCCCGCATCCCCCAGCCCCACATCCCCCAGCCCCACATCCCCCAGCCCCGCATCCCCCAGCCCCACATCCCCCAGCCCCACATCCCCGATCCCCTCCCGGTGAGCGCGGCCCTGACGCCCGTGTCCCCGCAGCACGGAGCGGACGCGCGGGCCCGGGACGGCCGCGGGCACACGGCGCTGTTCTACGCGCGCCGCGCCGGCAGCCGGGAGTGCGCGGACATCCTGGTGCAGCACGGCTGCCCCGGAGAGGGGCCCGGCGACAGCGCCGACAGCACCGACAGCGCCGGCGGCACCGGCCGCAGGAGCAGCTGCGGGCCCTGCGAGCCGCACACGGCACTGGTGTAGCCACGGCCCCCCCCGCTCCCCGGGCTGCGGGGGCCGCCACCAGCCCCCGGTGCCACCGGCCCCGGTTCGCTGTCCTGGGGCTCTATTTATTACACGGCTCCTGCCGGGAGCTCTCCCGGTCCTGTCCCTCTGCCCGTGCCAGGTCCCAGCACCCAGCGCTGGTGGCACCGTGGTCACCTCCCGGTGTCTCGGTGTGCGGCACCGATGGGGACAGCGCTGGCCGTGTCACACCGCCCGTGTCACCCCATTCACGTCATCCTGCCTACGGCTCCCGGCTGACGTGGGTCCTGTCCCCCCCATCCCACCTCTCCGTGGGTCCTCCACCCCAAGTCCCCTCCCCTGGCACCGGCACCGTGACAGGAGCAGCCCCGACCCCCTTTTCTACAGCCCCTTTTGTACAACCCCCCCCCCCGACTGTGCCCTGAGACCCCCCCCGAACCTGTGACCCCCCCAGCCCCCCTTTTGTCACCGTCCCCTTGGGATCCTCTTTAATTTATTGCTTCGTTTCACCGTTGGGTGGTGCCAGGGGCACCCATGGGCCTGGGGGCCCACCCATGAGCCTGGAGGGGGCCCACCCCTTGGCCCCCACCCCTGGGACCCTCCCATGAATGTAGGGGTGCCCCTCGCTGTGACGCCCCGGCAGCGCCGGTGGGACTGAGCCAGGGCCCCGGGGCTTGGGGGGACCAGGGAGGTCATGGCGTGCCAGGGCATGTCGTGGCGTGTCATGGCATGCTGTGGCGTGCTGTGGCGTGTCATGGCGTGTCATGGCATGCTGTGGCATGCCTTGGCGTGCCGTGGCGTGTCATGGCGTGTACAGCGTTTTCGGGTTGTAACTGTAAGTACGTAACAATGTTGGATTTGGCGCTGTGAGCGCGGCTCCTGCGGCGGCACCGCGGGGGGATCGGGATGGGGAGGGGGGGTCCCGCAATAGGGCTGTGGTTGGGCCGTGCCTTGGGGCTGTGCCGTGGCTTAGGGCTGGAGACCAAGAGGGTTCTGGTGCTAGGGTGTATGGGGGGGCCGGTACCGGTGCCGGAAGGGGTTTGGGGGGTCAGGACCGGTACCGGTGTGGGTCAGTGGGGTCAGGGGGTCAGGCCTGTATCAGTGCTAGAAGGGTTTTTGGGGGGGTCAAGCGGGGTTGGAGGGGGTTCATGCCGGTACCAGGGTGGGTCAGTGGGGGTCAGGCCAGTACCGGTGCCGGGGGGGGTTAGGGGGTCAGGCCGGTACTATTGCCGGAGGGGGCTTCAGGGGGGGTCAGTGGATTCATGCCAGTACCAGTGGAGGGTCAGGGTGTCAGGCTGGTACCGGTGCCTGGGGGGGGGTCAGGGCAGTGCAGGTGCTGGAGGGTTGTCAAGGGGGGTCAGGCGGTCAGGCCGGTACCGGTGCTAGGGGGGGGGCAGGGGGGTCAGGTCGGTACCGGTGCTGGGGTTAGGGGGGTCAGGCCGGTATCGGTGTCGGGGGGGTCAGGGGGGGTCAGGCCGGTGCCGGGGGGGTCAGGCCGGTGCCGGGGGGGTCAGGGGGGTCAGGCCGGTACCGGTGCCGGGGGGGTCAGGCCGGTGCCGGTGCCGGGGGGGGAGGGGGTCAGGCCGGTGCCGGTGCCGGGGAGGGGGCGGGGGGGGTCAGGCCGGTGCCGGGGGGGTCAGAGGGGGTCAGGCCGGTGCCGGTGCCGGGGAGGGGGCGGGGGGGGTCAGGCCGGTACCGGTGCCGGGGGGGTCAGGGGGGGTCAGGCCGGTGCCGGGGGGGTCAGGGGGGGTCAGGCCGGTACCGGTGCCGGGGAGGGGGCGGGGGGGGTCAGGCCGGTGCCGGTGCCGGGGGGGTCAGAGGGGGTCAGGCCGGTGCCGGTGCCGGGGAGGGGGCGGGGGGGGTCAGGCCGGTACCGGTGCCGGGGGGGTCAGGGGGGGTCAGGCCGGTACCGGTGCCGGTATCCGTAGGGCCGCAGCCGGTGGGTCAGGAACTCCAGCGCGTGCATCTGGACCCCGTCCACGTAGTGGAACGAGACCGAGAGGTCGGAGCAGCACGCGGCGGCCTGCAGGGGGCGCCAGAGGGGGCGTGCTCTGAGGGGGCGGGACACGCATGGGGGGGGTGTGTGTGTGTGTGCAGGAGAGTGGGCGTGGTTTGTATGCAAATTACGTAGGCGGAGCTTCGAGTAGGTGAGAAAAGAGAGGCCTGTCCTCTATGCAAATGAAGTGGGAGGGGACTTGGGGGTGCAGAGGGGACTGGGGGTGCAGCGGAGCCTGGGGGGTGCAGCGGGAACCTGGGGGTGCAGAGCGGACTTGAGGGTGCAGAGGAGACTTGGGGGTGCAGAGGGAGCCTTGGGGATGCAGAGGGGACTGGGGGGGTGCAGAGGAGACTTGAGGGTGCAGAGGGGACCTGGGGGGTGCAGTGGGGACCTGGGGGTGCAGAGCGGACTTGAGGGTGCAGAGGAGACTTGGGGGTGCAGAGGGAGCCTTGGGGATGCAGAGGGGACTGGGGGGGTGCAGAGGAGACTTGAGGGTGCAGAGGAGACTTGAGGGTGCAGAGGGAACCTTGCGGGTGCAGAGGGAACCTTGCGGGTGCAGAGGGGACTGGGGGGGTGCAGAGGAGACTTGAGGGTGGAGAGGGAGCCCTGGGGGTGCAGAGGGAGCCTTGCGGGTGCAGAGGGGACTGGGGGGGTGCAGAGGAGACTTGAGGGTGCAGAGGGAGCCCTGGGGGTGCAGAGGGAGCCTTGCGGGTGCAGAGGGGACTGGGGGGGTGCAGAGGAGACTTGAGGGTGCAGAGGGAGCCCTGGGGGTGCAGAGGGGACTGGGGGGGGCTCTGTGCCCCCGCTCTGATCCGCATGGGATGGGTTCGGTTGCCGGGTCCCTACTCACCCACTGCACGGGGTAGTAGGAGTACTGCGGGTAGAAGCGGTCGCGGGGCAGGGGCTGGGTGAGGTGCTGCTCCGGCGGGAAGGGGTGGAAGGTTTCCCGTCCCTGGGAGTCCCGGGAATCCCCCGCGGCCACCCCGAGCTTCTCCAGGCACTGCCCCAGCGCCAGGTCCTCCACGGGGCTGCTGTGGGTGCAGGTCCCAGCGGCGAAGGCGGCTGCGAGGAGCCGCAGGGCCCCTTTGCTGAGCACGTACCCGGCCCCCCCGCTCATGTAGCCCTGGCGCACGAAGGGCTTGAAGCGCTTCCCCAGGTACAGGGGGGCCTCCGGGGAGCGCCCGGCCAGGAGCCAGCGCAGGTTGGCCACCACCACGAAGGTGTCGTCGTCCGCCTTGAGGAACCAATCGGCCTGGTCCAGGTGATGCTCGTGCACGTACTGGAAGGCGCGGATGGTTTTCCAGTAGAGCTGATGCCGACCTTCCCCCACGGGCAGCCCCACGGCCGGGAGGCTCGGCTCTGGCGCTGAGCTCATGAACAGCACCACGTTGCAGTGCCGGGCCCAGGTCGCCTGCACGTGCCTGGCTCTGGTCTCCAGGGTGCTGGGGCTGGTCATGACCCAGCACAGGACACGCACCCGCTCGTACAGCGCCTGTGCCAGGCTGCTGTTCACTGCGGGAGAGAGGGAGCTGGGGCGGGCCATGGACACCTCCGTGCGCTGGATGTGCCGTAGGCACCTCTGAGTGCAGGGATGTCCTGTGGACCCCATCACCGGCCACTGCCCCATCCCGGTCCCCAGCTCTGAGCTCCCACCATATCCAGGACATCCCAAATGCATCACAGGCTCAGAGCTCCCACTGCCAGCCCCAGAGAAACAGGGGTTGGTTTGGGTTGGGAGGGACCTTGAAGCTCCTCCAGCCCCAACCTCTGCCATGGGCAGGGACCCCTTCCACTGGAGCAGGGTGCTCCAAGCCCCTGTGTCCAACCTGGCCTTGAGCACTGCCAGGGATGGGGCAGCCACAGCTTCTCTGGGCACCCTGTGCCAGCGCCTCAGCACCCTCCCAGGGAAGAGCTTCTGCCCCAGAGCTCATCTCAGTCTGCCCTCGGGCAGGGTAAAGCCGTTCCCTTGTCCCTCGGTGCCACCTCCCCGGTGCCACACGGGGACGTCACCGCCACCACCCCGGCTGCGCCCTGCGCCCGTCCCTGCTTCCGGGACCTCGCCCTCCCCCGTTATCTCCCATGGGTCCCCCCCCCCGGTCTCACCTGTGGGAGGGGGGAGGCTGCGCAGGGGGGGAGCACCCTCGGCTCTGGGGGGGCCCTGCAGCCCCCCAAGACCACGCAGGAAGCTGCCCCCCAGCGCCAGCCCCACGGCGAAGCCCAGCAGGAACCAGGGGCCCCGCACGGCCCCACAGCGGCGCCTCGGTGGCTGCAGGGTACAGGGCAGGGATGGACCCCCCCGAGCACCCACAGAAACCCCCCGCCACCAGCTCACTGTCCTGCGGAGACCCCCAAATCCCTCCCCGTGTCCCCTTTGTCTCCCCCAATCCCTCCCTGTCCCCTTACCCGTGCCCCCCTTCCTCCCTTCCCCGGTCCCTCCCCGGTCCCCCCCCAGCCCCCGCGAGTTTTCAGCCCCATTTGAGCACCCCCAGCCCCATGAGTGTTCCCCCCCTCCCCCCCCCATGACCCGTCCCAGCCCAATCTCGTTACAGCCACAACAGGGGCTGTCCCCGGAGCCGCAATGGGGTCACCTGGGGGGTCCCCCCGGTACCTGTCCGGTGCTGCCCATGGCCCTGCCCACGGCTCCACGTGGCTCAGACGCACCCGAACAAGGAACCGGCTCAACGGCTCCAAACGGGGGCGGGGGGAAGAGGTGAGACCGGGGGGGGGTGTGTGTGTGTGTGTGTCAGTGTCAGGGCAGCACCCAGGGACCCATCCCCTCCCCGCTGTGGGTCCCTGGCCCCCGAACCAGCCCCTGCAGACGCCAGCACCCAATGGTGGCCACCAAGAGCCGGGGACATTCGGGGGCCACACGTTACAGCCCCTTCGGGAGGGGACAGTGGCCACATTGTGGGGGCCATGGTTGTGGTTGAGGACCCCGCAGATGTGCAGGGGGCAATGGCAGTGGTGGGGACACGAGCCGGGGGGGGGGGGGGGGGTTGCTGCGGCCACTGTGGGCACGTACGGGGCAACCACGGCCCGGGATGGGGAGAGCGCGGCCGCACACGGGGGAGTCCACGGCCAGGGATGGGGACACGGTGGGGTAGGGCCGAGGTCGCGGACGGGCCCTGGATCCCGGGGGGTCCGGTCAGTTCTATGGGTCCCGGTGAAGCAGGTGCGTCCCGGCATTGACCCGCCCCCTCCTCGCTCCCATTGGCCAGCACCAGACGAGCCCCCGCCCTCTCCTGATCCTGATTGGCTGCGGCGCGCCCACAAGCCCTCCCCTTTGCGCCCAGTCCATGGGGCGGGCACTAGGACCCAGCGAGGCCCTCGGTGAGCCCTTGGGGGGGGGGTACCGGACGGGCGGACACGGGTGGGGGCGCGTCACGGACAAAGAGACAGAGCCGGGGGACCCGGTTTATTGGTAAAAAGGGGGGACACAAACGGCTCCAGTGGCAACGAGGGACCCCCCCAAATCACCCCCTCCCCATATTACACCCCCACAAAATACCCCCTCCCCATATTACACCCCCACAAAATACCCCCTCTCCAATATCCCCCCCACCCCAAACCACTTCCCCACGTCACAGGGACCCCCCCAAAACCAGTCCATGGGACCCAGCCATGGGGCAGCCCCACAGCAGAGCACTGGGTGAGGGGGGGGGTCACAAGTCGGGGTCCTCAGAGTCCCCGGGGGGGGGCGGCTCACGGCGGCCCCCCCACACGAAGCGGTAATTGTCCTGCAGTGCCTGCTGCCGCCGCCGCTCCCGGTGCACCTCGGGGGAGCCCTGCAGCTGGGGGGGACACGGGTCAGGGGGACCCAGCAATGGGGGGACACTCATGATGGGGGGCCGCTCCCCCCCGCGCTCACCAGCACATTGAAGAAGATCTCCTTGAGGTTCTTGGTGTCCTCCTCTGACAGCCACCGGCCCTCGGCCTCATCCCCCCCTGCTGTCACGATCTTGATCTCGATCTTCCCTGGGATAAGGAGGAGGGTTGGGGGGGATGGAGGAGAAAGAGAGTTGGGGGGCTGGAGGAAGAGGAGGGTTGGGGGGGGATGGAGGAAGAGGAGGGTTGGGGATGGAGGAAGAGGAGGGTTGGGGGGGGATGGAGGAGGAAGAGAGTTGGGGGGCTGGAGGAGGAAGAGAGTTGGGGGAATGGAGGAGGAAGAGAGTTGGGGGAATGGAGGAAGAGGAGAGTTGGGGGGGATGGAGGAGGAAGAGAGTTGGGGGAATGGAGGAGGAAGAGAGTTGGGGGAATGGAGGAGGAAGAGAGTTGGGGGAATGGAGGAGGAAGAGAGTTGGGGGAATGGAGGAAGAGGAGAGTTGGGGGGGATGGAGGAGGAAGAGAGTTGGGGGAATGGAGGAGGAAGAGAGTTGGGGGAATGGAGGAGGAAGAGAGTTGGGGGAATGGAGGAGGAAGAGAGTTGGGGGAATGGAGGAGGAAGAGAGTTGGGGGAATGGAGGAAGAGGAGAGTTGGGGGGGATGGAGGAGGAAGAGGGTTCGGGGGATGGAGGAAGAGGAGGGATGGGGGTGCTGGAGGAGGAGGAGGGTTGGGGGTGATGGAGGAAGAGGAGGGTTGGGGTGATGGAGGCTCCCCCAGCCCCTACCTTCTGCCCGCAGCCCCTCCTTGGCCAGCAGCTCCCGCACGTCACTCTGGGGGTGGCCCTGGGGGGGTTCCTGGTGCCCGGACCTGCTCTTCCTCCCAGCTCCTTCCTCATCCTCCCTCTCGCCCCCCCTGTCCAACTTGTCCATCAGGCGGTTGAGGGTGGAAGCCAAGGACTTGGAGGCCCGGGTCCGGTCAAACTCGCCCTTCAGCCCCTCGGTCTCCAGCTCATCCTCCACCTGCAGGTGATGGGTTTAGGGGGCTCGGGGGGGGGGGGGGGGGGGGGGGGCAGCCCGGCCAGGGGGGTCCCAGCTCCCTCCCCCACCTCATTGATGATGTTGTCAAACTCCTTCTCCATCTCGGTCTTCACCTCCTCCTTCAGCTGCGCCATCTGCTCCCGTGGCAGCAGCACGGCCTCCAGCTCCTTCTCAAAGCCACCCAGGAGGTCCTCGTCGTCCTCCTCATCCTCTTCTTCCTCCTCTGGCCGCTCCTTGTCGCCCACTGAGGGCTCCTCATGGGCTGGGAGGGCCTTGGCCGCTGCCTCTCCCACCACCTCCTCCTCCTCACTCACCTTCTCCTTGGCCTAGAGGTGGAGGGAAGGTTCCCGTGGACACCCCTCAGAGGCAAGGGGACAGGCGAGGCCAGGAAGAGCTCCCCGTGGTCACCCACCTTTCTGGAGCTCTCCTTCAGCTCCTCGATGAAATGGAGCAGGTCCCCGAGGCTCCGGATCACTTTGAAGTGGATTTTCTTCCTCGGATCTACAAGGTGACCACAGCAAAGGACAGGCGGGGGGGCTGGGGCCGTAGCGGGGGGCACAGGGAGCAGGCGCCACCGCAGGACTCACCGGTCACTCGGCCACCAGCGGCCCTCGGGGATGGCTCCTCCGCCTGCAGGAGGAGAGGGGGCGATGGAGCAGGAGCCCAGCGTGGCTCCTGCACAACGGGACACCCAGGGGGACTCACCCTGGTGCTGTCCTGGTGGCCGCCATCCTCACCGGTCACCTCGTGGCCCTGCTCCTTGGCTGGGTCTGCTTCATCCCTCGGCGTGGCTGGTGGGGGGAGGAAGAGGAGGGGACGTGGGCCCGGCTGCCCCCCGCCACGATGGCTCCTTGGCCATGGGACACGGGCCCTACCGTCACCATGGGCCACCGGTGCCCCCTCGGGGGGGGTCCCAGGGGTCTCCACATCCCTCTCGCTCCACAGCTTCGTGTCCAACGTCTTGAGCTCCTCCGAGATCTCCTCAACCTTCCGCTTGGTGTCCGCTGGAGGGACACAAGAGGGGGACCCTCATCACCCCTGCGGGGTCCCACCCTGCACCCACCCCTGGGGGGCCCCACTACTCACAGACTTGGGCCCGGACGTACTGGACGTACTGGGCCGGGCTGAGCGCGGGCTGGCACAGGATGGGCTGCGGCGCTGCGCTGGGGGACGGCCGCAGGAGCGGGTGGTGGCAGATGCGGGGGGTGTGAACCGTGAGCACATAGGAGCAGGACTGGGGCTCATCCACACGGGCGAGGTGGTCACCAGCCCCCTCCTCACACAGGAACTGGGGGGTGGAGCCATCATCAACACCGTCACCATCATCACCATCACCACCACCACCATGATCACCACTACCATCATCATCATCACCATCAGCACCACCACCACCATCACCACCACTACCATCATCATCATCACCATCACCACCACCACCATGATCACCAGCACCACACCACCATCATCACCACCACCACCACCATCACCGCTACCATCATCATCATCACCACCACCACCATCATCACAACCACCACCACCATCCCCATCACCGCTACCATCACCATCACTGTCACCATCACCCAGTGCCGCTGCAGCCTCACCCGCACTTCGGCCTCGCGGGCCCGGCCAGTGAGGTCGCAGTGGGAGCCGTTCACGTAGCTCTGGCTGTGGTAGCGCTTCAGCCGGTGCTGCTTGGAGGCCTGCAGAGGGGTTGGAGCTGGGGATTCTCTGCTGGCTCGTACACGGGCTGGGTGCTGGCACATGCAGGTGGGATGGAGCCCAAACCTTGGCTGTTTCGTCATCCCAGTCGAACGCTGACTGATAATAGCCGAGGAAGAGGATGTCTCCTTTGATCTCCGACTCTACAGTGAGAGGCCAGAGTGGCAGAGGCTGGAGGCGACATCAGGGACAATTTGCCCCCCTCATCCTCCCTGTGCCACCGTCACCTTCCACATGGTACTGCTGGATGTGCTTCCCATAGCAGAACTCGTAGGTCCACCAGTCCTTGGTCTGGAAAAGATAGGGTGAACAGGGATGGGGGCCCCCAAATCCCACCCTTTGTCCCTAGGGCCCACCCCGTGCCCCAGAGCCCACCTTGACGAGGCAGGGAGCCGCTGCCATGGGCTGCAGGAGCTCGCTGACCCCGGAGCCGTTGTAGAGCTGCGCGTCCTCAAGGGGCTCCGGGGGGCTCCGCACGGCCGCCGCCGGGAGCCGGCACTCGTAGCGCTGCTTGAACTTGGAGGCCACCGTCACCACGTCCCCCGGCGGGCGCTGGGGGGGACACGGGGCTCGGGGGGGTCCTTGGAGGGCACCGGTGCCCCCCTCCCCGTGCCTCACTTGCCCCCAAGCCCACCCTGCCCAAAGGGGACCGAGCTACCGGGTTCCTGCCCTGTGGGGAGCCACCGGAGCCGCTCAGCGCCTGAGGGAAGGCCCGGAGCCCCCAGCCCCATGCCCGGGTGAACCACACTGGAACACGCGGTGTCCTCAGCCCGGTCCCCGGGCAGCGCCTCCAGCCCCGCGCCGAGCCCCACCGCCGGTACCGCCCGGGCCGCAGCCCCGCGCACCTGCCCGGCCAGCACGGGCTCGGCCAGGATCTCGAGGCCGTACTTGAGCTCGCCGAGCTCCTGCAGGTCCAGCGCGGCGCGGGCGCCCCGCAGCGCCGGGCCCAGCACGGCCAGGACCGAGAGGAGCAGCGGCCCCGGGCCCGGGCCCCGGCCCCGCCGCGCCGCCATCTTCGCCCTCCTCACCGAGCAGCTTCCGCCCGACACCTCCCCGCGCCCGCCCCCGCGCTTCGCGTTCCGCGTAGTGATTGGTCAGCGTGACTGCCCGTCTGAGCTCTGCTGTCTTCTATTGGTCAATGCGTCGTGGTGACGTCACCGGTGTTGAGGCCGTGGCCGCAGGGCGATGGCTCCTCCCGCGGCTGGCCGCGATTGGGCCGAGTCAGCGCTGGCGGCAGCCAATGGGGAGGCGGAGCGCGATGACGCAGGCAGAGGCGGGGATGCCGGCTCCCCATTGGCTGAGCTGGATGCAGGCGAACCCCGCGCCCTGATTGGTGGAGAGCGTGCAGAGCATCCCTGAGGGGGGATTGAGGGGAGGTGGGGGGCGCTTTGTCACGTGATTAACGGAGCCGGGAGGAGGGGGTCCGGCCCCGCTCCAGGGTGAGCCTCCCCCCTCTCCCCCCCCCCCGCGACCCCCAGGACCCTCCCCCCCCGCTCCCCAATTCCCAGCCCCCAATTCCCTCCCCAGCCCCCAAATCCCAGCCCCCATCCTCCCATTTCCCCTCCGGTCCCCCCCGCCGCAGGCAGTCCCGGCCCCCCCCGTTCCACCCCCCCGGGGCTCAATGGGGCCGTTGTTCTGCCCACGACTGGGCAGAGCCCGGCCTGTGGCACCAGGAGCCTCCGCCTCACAGGGGGGGCGGGACCCGGGGATAAACAGAGGGGGGGGCCCTATCCCGACCCCCGCCAGCCCCGATGCGCCGGTGACAGCGGCGGCCGCCTCCTCCCCGCTGTTTCCCCCCGCTCCCCGGCTTCCCGCCCTTCCCGGGGCTGCGGCGGTGCCGTTCCCAACCGGGGCCGCCGGGGGCGCCCTTCCCCCCCCCCCCCCCCCGCAGACACCGACCGACAACCCCCCCCCCCGGTGCCGGGACCCGCCGGCGGAGCCAGGTAGGGCCGGGGCCATCGAGAGCCTCCATATCGCTACAGGTCGAGGCGAGAGGGGGCACCTGCCGACATCTCCCTTCTCCCTAAGCTCCCACCCCGGCCTCCACATCCCCCGATCCCCGCATTGGCCGCATTGCCTGACCCCCCCCCAGTCTTTATCCCCCATTGCCTAACCCCCCAAACCTGACCCCGCCCACTCCTAACCCCCCCATTCCTGATCTCCCAATCCTGTTCCCCTATTCCTTGCCCCCCATTGCCAGACCCCTTCAATCCTGATCTCTCCACTCCTGAACCCCCAATGCTGCATCCCCAATCCTGTGCGCTGATTCCTGGCCCAGCGTTCCCAAACCGTCACAATCCTGACCCCCTCCATTCCTGATTCCCCGATCCTACCCCCCCATCCTGCCCCCCATTCCTCCCCCCCCATCCTGACCCCCCAGTCCTGACCCCCCATTCCTGACCCACCCTCCCTGCACAAAACCCCTGGGGGTGTCAGGGTGTGTCCCCTGGCCCTGACGCTGTCCCTATGTCTCCAGGCCGGTGTTGTGGGGGACAGAGCCATGAGCGTGAGTTGAGACCCCCCCAGAGACCTGCAGCCAGCCCGAGGTGAGACTGGGGATGCTGGGGGTGCTGGGAGCACTGGGGGCACTGGGGGGCAGTGGGAGGCACTGGGGCCACTGGGAGAACTGGGGGCACTGGGAGCACTGGGAGGCACTGGGGAACACTGGGAGCACAGGAATGATGAGGGGGCACTGGGAGGGGTACTGGGAAGCGCTGGAGGGCACTAAGCGGCACTGGGGGCACTGGAATTATTGGGGGCACTGGGTATCACTGGAGGCACTGGGAAGCACTGGGGGGCACTGGTGGCACTGGGGTCCACTGGTTAGCACTGAGAGCACTGGAATGACAGGGGGCACTGGGGAGCACTGGGGGGCACTGTGGGGCAATGGGATGGACTGGGAGCAGTGGGAGCACTGGGTGCACTGGGGAGCACTGGGGGGCACTGGGAGTACTGGGGGGCACTGGGAAGCACTGGGAGCACTGGAATGATGGGGGCACTGGAGAGCACTGGGGGGCACTGGAATGCACTGGGAGCAGTGGGGGCACTGGGTGCACTGGGGAGCACTGGGGGGCACTGGGGGGCACTGGGAGTACTGGGGGGCACTGGGAAGCACTGGGAGCACTGGAATGATGGGGGGCACTGGAGAGCACTGAGAGCACTGGAATGACAGGGGGCAGCGGGAGCAGTGGGGGCACTGGGTGCACTGGGGAGCACTGGGGGGCACTGGGGGGCACTGGGAGTACTGGGGGGCACTGGGAAGCACTGGGAGGCACTGGGAAGCACTGGGAGCACTGGAATGATGGGGGCACTGGAGAGCACTGGGGGGCACTGGAATGCACTGGGAGCAGTGGGGGCACTGGGTGCACTGGGGAGCACTGGGGGGCACTGGGGGGCACTGGGATGCCCTGGGAGAAGTGGAAGCACTGTGGGGCACTGGGGGACACTGGGAGGCACTGGGGGGCACTGGGAGCACTGCGGGGCACAGGGGAGCACTGGGGGGCACTGGGGGGCACTGGGGAGCACTGGGGAGCACTGGGGGGCACTGGGCACTGGGGAGCACTGGGGGGCACTGGGGGGCACTGGGATGCCCTGGGAGAAGTGGAAGCACTGCGGGGCACTGGGAGCACTGGGGGACACTGGGAGGCACTGGGAGCACTGGGGGCCACTGGGAGCACTGGGAGCACTGGGGGTCACTGGGAGGCACTGGGAGCACTGGGGGGCACTGGGAGGCACTGGGAGGCACTGGGGGACACTGGGAGGCACTGGGAGTGACAGGGGGGTGCTGGAGAGGCTTGGGGCACACAAGGACACTGTGGGATTCGCGGGGACACTGGGAGGAAGTGGGGAGGCAATGGGAGGTTCTGGAGGGTGCCGGGGGGGCACGGGGGGGGGTGGGGGGTGTCCGTGTACTCTCGGGGTCACTCGGGGTCACTCTGCGCCCCCTCTCGCCGCTGTAGCGCCCCCTGGCGGCCGCAGCATGCGTGGCGCGCCGCGCTCGTGCGCGCTGGCGGTGGGCGTGGCCTCGGCGCTCGCGCTGCTGCTGCACCTCTGGGTGCCCGCGGGCCCCCCCAGCGTGGACCTGAGCGGCCCCCCCCGCCTGCCGCCCCCCCCGCGAGGGCCCGCGCGCGCCTACCCGCACGTGCCCTTCCGCCTGCGCCGTGACGTCATCGAGTGAGGGCGGGGCCCACGGTTGGGGGGCGGGGGGCACAAGGGTGGGGGTTATTCATGGGGGGGGGGGATGAGGGCACCCATGGGTGGGGGGAGCCGTTGGGTGGTACCTATGGGTGGGGGAGTACCCGTGGGTGGGTGCACCCGGGGGTGGGGAGCACCTCAGGATGGGGGCACGCGTGGGGTGTGAGTACCCATGGGTGGGGGGACCCATAGACATGAGAACCTCAGGACAGCGGCACCCATGGCTGGGAGCAGCCGTTGCTTCGGGTGGCACCCAAGGGTGGTGAGTCCAGGGACCCAGGGATGGAGCACCCCGGGGCTGGGGGTGGAGCCATGGGGCTGTTGCGGGGTGACTGGGGGTGGTGGGAAGGTGTCAGCATGGGTGGCGAGGCCGTGCTGGCCCATGCTGCTCCATACTGGTCCATACAGGCCCATGCTGGTCCATACTGGTCCATATGGGTTCACACTGGTCCATACTGGTCCACACTGGTGCATGCGGGTCCACACTGCTCCATACTGGTCCATGCTGGTCCATACTGTTCCATACTGTTCCATGCTGGTCCATGCTGGTCCATGCTGGTCCATACTGGTCCATACCTGTCCATACTGTTCCATACTGTTCCATGCTGATCCATGCTGGTCCTTATGGGTCCATACTGGTCCATGCTGATCCATAAGGGTCCATATTGGTCCATAATGTTCCATACTGGTCCATGCTGGCCCATACTGTTCCATGCTGATCCATACTGGTCCATATGGGTCCATACTGGTCCATACTGTTCCATGCTGATCCATACTGGTCCATACGGGTGCATACTGGTCCATACCGGTCCATGCTGATCCATACTGGTCCATACTGGTCCGTGTTGGTCCATACTGGTCCATACCAGTCCATATGGGTCCATACTGGTCCATACCGGTTCATATGGGTCCATACTGGTCCATACTGGTCCATATGGGTGCATACTGGTCCATACTGGTCCATACTGGTCCATACTGGTCCATACTGGTCCATGCTGATCCATACCGGTCCATGCTGTTCCATACTGGTCCATACCAGTCCATACCGTTCCATACTGGTCCATACCGGTTCATATGGGTCCATACTGGTCCATATGGGTCCATACTGGTCCATACCGTTCCATACCGGTCCATATGGGTCCATACTGGTCCATACCGGTCCATACCGGTCCATATGGGTCCATACTGTTCCATGCTGATCCATGCTGGTCCATACGGGTGCATACTGGTCCATACTGGTCCATGCTGATCCATACTGGTCCATACGGGTGCATACTGGTCCATACTGGTCCATGCTGATCCATACTGGTCCATACCGGTCCATATGGATCCATACTGGTCCATACTGTTCCATGCTGATCCATGCTGGCCCATACTGTTCCATGCTGGCCCATACTGGTCCATACGGGTGCATACTGTTCCATGCTGGTCCATACCGGTTCATATGGGTCCATACTGGTCCATATGGATCCATACCGTTCCATACCGTTCCATACTGGTCCATACCGGTCCATACTGTTCCATGCTGATCCATGCTGGCCCATACTGTTCCATGCTGGCCCATACGGGTGCATACTGTTCCATGCTGATCCATACGGGTGCATACTGGTCCATACTGGTCCATGCTGATCCATACTGGTCCATACCAGTCCATATGGGTCCATACCGTTCCATACCGTTCCATACCGTTCCATACTGGTCCATGCTGGCCAATCGGCTCCGCTCCGCCCCCCGCAGGCTGCTGCCCGGGAACGGGTGCTCGTGCGCGGCGGAGCCGGGGCCGCTCTTCGGGCAGGGCCGCGGCGCCGTTGACTTCGGCAGCAGCTTCGGCCCCGGCGAGCGGCGG